CCCCCCTTTATCATTCTGTCTCTTGATGGGCATCTAGGCTGCCTTCGGAGCTTAGCTGTTGTGAATTGCATGACATAAATATGGGTGTGCATGTATGGCCGTATCGTGATGTCTTAACTCACGTTACCTAGACACCTTCTGGACACCTTCAAGAGAAATGGCTGGGTCAAATGGAGTTTCTAGCTGGGGACTTGGCGGATGCTCCATTCTGTTTCCACGGTGATTGCAGCCCTCAGAGTCAACAACGCTGACGGGCTCCTCTTTCCTGCAGTCTCACCAGCAGTGCGACCAACGTTAAGAACCACTTCTAAACCTCACCACATCTCTACGCAAATCCCAACTGGTGGTTTCCTAAGTGTATTGCCTCAGGCAAGTTAATCCTCAGGTTCCTCGTTTGTAAGAAAATGTAGAACTGCTGTCAGAGGTTCTCGTGTGAGAATTACTGAGGTGCTAGGCATGAGACTGTCACAAGGTAGTCCTAAGTGGACGTAAAGGACAGCTGCTATTATTCCAGAATAATTCTGGTGCTATTTATAAACCGGAGGAAGTCACAGTTTGAACAATTAAAGCAAATCATATCCTTAATGGTATATCCAGAGACTTTCAAGAAATATTCATCAATGTTTAAGATAACATCTCACCAGGCCCAGCCTTCAGGAAGCCATTTAGACAGTAAAAACTATTACAAAGTTTTCCAAGGGAAATTATTTCACCGGGATGATTAGTATAAGGCCCTAAACACTGCTGCCCACTGGTTGTGAGAGCGCACGAAGAAGGGCTTTTGCATGGCAGGAGTAGAAAGAACAAGGAACACACATCCTCACCCACCTGCTCCCTGGGTAGTGTACAGACCCACAGCTGCAGACCACAGGGCAGCAAGACCTTCACACACTGCACACCACGCTCCGCCTACACAGCTGCCACAGCCGGGTCTGCCCAGGACTCCGGGTTGGCCAGCGCTCTTTCCTAGAGCCACGTTTCCTGGTCTCCACACCGGCGGAAACCGAAGCTCTCCCATCTAGCAGGAGCTGTATTTAGATTAGTTTCCTTCTCCAGTCCTACTTTGCTGGAGTAGATTTTGCTCGTTTTAGCTACAGGAGCAGAAATAATTTCTTAATCATGAGCCTGGGAAATACATAAGCAACCTATTTGTCAAAAGCCAGAAGATTGCTTCTCCACTTTGTTTCATTTTAAGTCTGGAAACATCGCATTGGAAAGGCTATTTTTTGTGTTTTGGGATTTATTGTAAAGAGAATTTCTATTTTCCCTGACCTTGCTAAGAGAGGAAAAACACTGGATTCTTTCGCATCTCATGCCAGATATTTTATTAAATATATCATAAGCAGCTTTTTAAGTTATACCTGCCACTGTTCGTGAAACATTCCTATTGGAATACAATGAAAAGGAATAAAAAGCTACATAGAGTTGAGGGCTAAAGATGATGTTTGAATTCAAATCCAAGATTCAAATCCAAGTACCAGGGCAAATCCAAGTACCTGGTCCCCCCCAGCGGCCTGATCTTAGTTTATGCCGCCTTCGAAGCAGATTCACACCAACAGTGGTTCCTCTCTGCAAGGTCTTTCTCCTCTACACTAGCCGCATCCTGGAAATGTTCAAACACACAGGAGTCTCCATTGTCTTACTTAATAACATTCCCAGAATGCCAGCTCTGCTTGCACATCTACAATGCTGCTATGATGTCTTCAACCCCAGGTCCTGCTCCCCCAAACGCAGTCATGAGTCGGCCTCACTCTGGCATGGAGCGGGCAGCAGGCTGTACCCACCAACCTGGCTGCCCTCCTCTGCCAAGTCCCTTCCACCCTCACCCCTTGGGCCTCTCTCAGAGCCCCCCCATACCTCAGGCAATGTGCCCCAAGGAGGGCTGGGGTCCCCCTTCCCAGACCCCTCCCACACCATCCATTTGCTGGTGCCAAAAGCTTAACAGCAGCTCCTTGCCACATAGATTACGGCAAGGCCCCTCTGGTGCCCGGTCCACACCGTGTCCCAAAGCCACCCTTCTCTGTCCCCTGCCCTTTCACCTCATCCAAAGGCTAAGCCCCCACTTCTCTTGCCTGCTCCCACCCCCACCCCCACGCCAGTGAGTTCTCAAGGGTGCACATCCAATGGCATCGCCCCTGCAAAAACAGCTTAGTGTCTGAGCACCACCCCAGCCCCAAAGGGCCAGGTGATGTTGGCAGGGCAGCAGGGCCACCACGGGGGCCGAAGCATCATCATTCACAGTACCCATTTAGAGGTCAAAGGGATGTGATTTTTTATTTATATAATTAAACCTATTTATAAAGGGGGTGCAAGCTTAATTCAAGTACTCAGGTAGTAAACATCTGCTCACACTGGGACATTAAAAATGGCTATTAGCCTTCATTTCTAGGGTTCATTATTTACAAGATTATTCAGGTAATGTGCATTTTTACACCTTTTATTTAACTCAGTGCTATTCCTCTCTCATTCTTAGATACTATTTTTCCGCCTTTCCATTTTCTCTTCCCACTACAAATGCTATGCTGGGGTAGAACCCTGCAACCAATAGCTTTAGGTTAGGTTCTGACTGTAAGGACAGGAGGTTAGCGAGCGGCTGCTATGCCAAGCCCGTGGGTTTAGAGGCGAACACAGCAGTAGGCCAGACGCAGGAAGCAGCTCGGGCCCCAGGCACTTCCCGTGAGGAGATGGAACAGGCGAGAACACTGGAGCTAACTCAGAACAAACCAGGCACCTCTACTAAAGCAGCACAAGTAACTGTTAGAACGGTAATCCTGCCGGCCATGATAATCTCGCACAGACAGAACGCACGGGTATAAAAGTACAAAGGAGGGGTTAAGCATGTTGCTCAGTGGCAGCTGCAGGCTTAGCATGTGCAAGGGCCTGGATTCAAGTACCAGCACCAAAAAACTAAAATAAAACCCAATAAAATTAAAGTGGGAAAGGTAATTTAGTATATTACATGTGTGTACGTCTATAGCCACGATTGCTATATAATAAACTGGCTGTTGTATATTATTCTTAGAGAACATATAGCTCAATCATAACTAAATTTTACATAGGACTCAAGTATATCTGAATAAATTAATAAATACAACCCTGGTTCTACCTGTGTGGTTGGTAAAAACATACAGAGTCAGGTGTTTGGACCATTTCTCTTGCTCTTCATGATACCCACACCCAAAGTTGACAAGCCTGAGAACACAAAGGAAAAGAGATTGCTGAATGTGAGGCTATACTTTCAGGGATCATTTCTATAGTATGAAATTGCTGAATGCATTTAGCAGTCCATTCCCCGCTCTAGGATGTGAGGAGCCACTGTCCACGCGCACAGAGGCGGGGACAGAGCCTTGAGATATTTAAATACTATATTTTTAAAAATGCATTCTTCTAAACACAAACAGTTTAGAAGAAAAATCTATTAAAACTTAAATTTTCATAAATTTTGTGATTTAGAATATATCCTAACATACCATCCTTCAAAAATAGGCACAACTAAATATATATGATAAAGCTAGCGAAACATCTAATCATCTTCTAATTCAGACTTGCATGTCTTCTTGTGCTTTGCTGGCCTTATTTTTTCTAAAACATGTTTTCACACTTTTATTACATATATAGTACTCTAGAGAAAGCAAGCTAGCTTGTCTTTTATGTAAAAAGAAAAACAGAAAAAAGAAACCAAAGCCATATGCTCAGCTGAGCTACAAGTGGATTAACCTGTTATATCTATTGAAAGCAATAAGAAAAGGGCTTTGATGTGGGGGCCAACTCTTTGAAATCTTGTATTTAATCGTGGGAAGAAGAGCTCTTCCACACATCAGAACAAATGGAAATAAATGGCTAAGAAAATCAACACAGCTGGTTTTACATACAAAATCCTGTGTTTGTGCTTGGTAAGTTGTTTATTTCCCCTACAGAGAAAAAATATGATACAGATGCACACAGAATATCAAGCTGTCCTTTTACCCATAATCT